AATTATTGATTAGCTATTCCAAGACAACTTTATTAATTTTTTCTCTCATTTTCCACTAATTATTAATTAGAAAAAACTAGCCTATAAACTTCCTGCTAGATTAAAAAAATCTCAAACTCTCGAAGATAAAAGATTTATAATCATCTAAAAAAACATGGAAGGCTACAAGATTTATATTAATTCAGTCAGAAGTGATCTTAGACCACTTTAGTTTTTTCCAAAAAGAAGAAGTTGAGCTGTCCGACAACTTTAATTTTTTCTAAAAAGAAGAAATTGAGCTGTCCGGAACCGGAGTAGAATCTCTTCACTCCCAAAATTTTTATTTTGAAAAAAAGGAAAAAATGTCTAGCATTAAATGATAGTGTGTAGAAGAATAAGAACTGTCCATTGTAATTGTTCCACATTGGATGGTAAAGCGAAAGTCAAATTCTGGCACGGGTTGTAAGACAGGGGGTCCCATGTTTAAAGACTAACGGAGGGTTATGATACCCCGGTCAAATGCGGCTATCTATTATTATTGCTTATTTTTTCCGCATCTCATCAATCACAACTTGATACGAGGTCAATTAATGTAAGAAATGAAGAAAATGCAAATTGTTCTTTTTTGTTTTTAATTATTTTCAACTGGTTGTTCGTTTTTTTAGACAGACCTTCTTCCAAGTTGAAAAAGGAAAATTAAAGAACGAATGTCTTTTTGACGAAGAAAATAGGTCTTTGTTGCTGAATTTTTTAACCGTGACAACCACGTGTGTTGTGTGGCAGGGGAGGTGGAGGGGCAGGAGACGCGGGGTTGACTCACTTATTGCCGCGGCGAATCGAGCCTGCTGGTTGGAGAGTGTTGAAAGTGGAAGTGGAGGAGACCTATCTAAAGGTGATTAATGGACTCATGAACCATGCATGGTCACCATGTCCGTGTTTCTCGTGTCATTTCTATTTCGGGTCAGTATTGGCTCGCTTGTTGCTATATCCTGCAGTCAATGATAAATTTGACGTAACCTAAGATAGTTGGATTAAGTTTAAGAAATTCTATTAGTTTAAATAAATAATTTTGAGTTTAATTTTTTTATATATAAAAAGGTTTTTTAGTAATTGTGTTCATTTTATGTGTCCGATCGAATAACAAAATATTAGTTTGAACCTTTGATTATAAGATATCTTAAAAATTAAAAAAAAAACAATTGACTCCTAAATGTGTCTCCTTTAGAGTTTTATTTTTTATTTTTTTAATAGGAAGATAAAATATCTTGTTTAAAGGGAAAATATAAGATATTTTTATGTTAAAAAACTAACATAAAGCATCCACACACACTCTCTCTCTCTATTATATATATATATATATATATATATATATATATATATATATATATATATATATATATATATAGATGTTTTTGTGTTGGGTGGAATAAGAGAGTAAAATGCTCCATCAATATTTGAATGATAGGTCCACACTCCACAGTATATGACAAGCTACAAAAAGGCATGTGTGAACGCTGAAGGATGCCGGGCTGGTTTGGCAACTGGCTTTTCGAAAAATTGGAAAGAGCTATCCCGATAAGGCACAATACCACTATGAGGTCCTCAGTCTATAACGCATTACCTACTTGACATAGATTATTGGCAGAACGAAATTCAAAAGGAAATCCAAGAGCATGCAGTCACAAATCAACTTTATTTCCAAGACAATGAGTCCTCATAATACTAATTTAAGGGAAGAAAAATGGAGTCAAGGGATAAGAAATGCTGTGGGTTTATCTATAGCGATGGGTGACTTGATACCCTTTTGTAAATTGGACCTTGAGATGATATATTATTGGCTAATAGAGGGCTTAGGGGCTTACAGTTACAAATATCTTAAGGTGCTGTAAATTAATATTTCTTCTTTCTAGAATTCCATAAAATGCCTACATGTGAAATGGGTTGTTAAAATTTCAGTTCATAATTAACTTCTCTTCATTACTTTGTTTATGAGAAAAGATTGGGACAAAGAAAAAAGCAAAAGAATTTTTGAAAAAACCCAATACGATTTTCCTCTTCTAGAACAAAATGTTGATCCATAACATATCTAGAAAGTGGAAAGGTTTCTTTTATTTTCACTTTCTAGATACTTCATAATGAGAATTTTGAGCAATTTACACCTCGTACGTAAATTTACTAATCTAGCTTTATAAACGTGCCAACTTTGGAGGTGGGAAGGTACAAAAGGTGTACATTGGTAAGTGAAGATATTAATGACACTCTAATCTCTCCCTCTCCAATTAGAATCCAAACAAGTTGGCAATCCATCAAGTTGTATCCCTTACCTTCCCAAAAGCTAGAGAGGGATTCTTTGCACCTAAAAGATTGAGATGACATCACTTAAAATATCTAAGGAATCGCAACACTTGTGAACCATCGGTTAGTAAGCACATCATCCATTCAAATTGGCAATTTTTGCGTTGTTAGATTAATTTCATATGCTATGATTATAATTATAATGATGTATCTAGTGTATTCTTCTTGTCATGATATGCAATTACGTTGAATTTGATAAATGAATAATTTGAATCATATTCATTGTGTCAAGTAAGAAAGAATAGTTTTTCTTTGATCTTTCTCCCTTCATTCGTTTTTCTTTCTTTTGTTAGAACTAAAAGTTAATAGTTTGTCTCCAATAATCTCATATCTAGTATCTAGCTAGCCTTCACGATACTGGATCAAACCTCTTTTTTTTATTTGATTTTCAATTTATCTTCTTCTTCTTTTCTAACGTATTTTTGAGATTTTTGGAGTTTTGTTGTGTTACAAATGAGATTTTCAAGATTTTTGAGAGTTTAACCAGAAACATGGAGGATTTTCAAGGCATCAAAAATTAAGATCAGTAATCCCTATCTTTCGTACTGGTCAGAAGAATCTTCCTTTTTCTTTTTCTTTTTTTGTACGGTAGTTGTGATTTTTTTTTAAAAAAAAATCTTCTTTGTATGATTTTGGGCTTCCTTTGATGACATTTAACCCCTTTTATTCTCTATTTGCAGAGGATATTGATCTACATTGACTTCAAATTATGATATAGAAATTAGTTTTTGTTGATTATAATATAAAAAAAATCTTGTCTTTGATTTGGAAAATAATGAATTCTATTCAAAATACTATTGAGTTTTATGGTGAATATCTTGTTCAATTTTTTTTAATGATAAAGAGAAAAACGTACAAAAAAATTGAGTGTGCATCCGTAGCATTGTCGTGTCTAAATGACTAATGCATCAATCACAAAGTGTTCACATGTTTTAATTTTTTTTATTAATATTTATTTAATATGGGATTATTTTTCAACATAACTCCTCTTTTGAATTTTTTTTTTTTTTTTAAAGTTGTCATGTAAATAGTTTATAGACCATTAGATTATGAGAAACTATTATAAAAATATCGAGCGTTCATATTATAGACCTCCTGTGACTATAAGAACTAAGTTTACATATATTTAATTAGCACAAAAGATAAGAAAAGATATTGAATCTCTTTAGGTTTAGGTGAGCTCATATATGAAAATATCATAAAAAACTATAAAATTATAAGATAACATCTTTAATCATTTCGATTCCTTTAAAATTCACATCATTTGACATACTAATTAGACATAGAGAGCAATGATCCTTCTGGTACGTTAGATAGGACGAGACAAACATAATTAGGTTCAACGGAACTGGACTAGACTAGACAAGTACATGCTCTTGTCTTGTGCTCGGACATTAAATAGAACGAGGGTGGAAGAAATTTCGTAAAAGTCCAATTTGATTCTTGAATTTTTTTCAACAATTTATTTTAGTTTTTATATTTTATTTTCATTACATTTGGTCCTAATTTAAAATTTTTTGATTTTTTTGGTGTGTGCAATTTAGTCCCTAAATGATTTTTTTTTCAATTAAACCCCTATACGTAAAATTTTATTTTAATAAAATGTAGGCAAACTTTTTCCAACCAAATTAAGTAATAAATGAGTGATAAATAGACCATGGATAATATTAAAAAAATAATAAAAAAGATAATGTTGTCCAATAGTATTGGATAAAGTTGTTTTATTCTAAGGTGATAGAAGAATTTTGTCTTAAAGACAATTTTGAACAAGAAAAGAATTAATCTTTGTTCTGTCCAATGTTGGCACTGAACGTGGCACAAATGGTCGTGTTATATCTTATATGTGCACCAAATAGTATATCTTGTCTGGTTCAATTCAGTCATATCATGTTTAGCATATCAAATGCATTCTTAGAATTTATACTTCTAAAATTTCTTTCAGACTAATCTTATTTTTGGCAAAATAACAACAGAAACGATAGATTCCCTTGGTTTCTAAATATAGCAAAAAAAAAAAAAAAACATGTTTTATAAATTTAATACTATCGATAATAAACCAGCTATAAGCACTATTAGAACCTAAGCAAAAAGTACAGACATATAGGATACATATGAAGATAATCCAAATGTTGATCGAATATAGCTCTTGATCGGTTTTTATTTATTTTTTCCTCAAGCTATAATAAAGTAATCATAACTCGAACTCATTAAAAATGATAAAAAGATTTTCATCTTCCACAATTTTTTTAAAAATTTTCTCTCATGTTTCTCTCTTCTTTTTTTGTATCTATCTCTCTACTTAAAATGAATCCATGAATAATTATTATATATGTCACATACCATTAATTATTTTTTATGTATTATAAAATTTCTCATAACCTCAGCCATATGCCGCGTGATTTTTTCAATTTTAAAATGTCAAAATCATATGAATGAACGAAGGAGGAGCAGTTATGCGTTCATCATGGGCCTTGTTAAGCAACCTTGTTGGTGGAAACATCCCACCATTTTCCTCAGGTTCACGAAACTTGGTCCACGTATAGGTAGGAAATATACAAAAAGCCTGAAATTTTTCATAACTTGGGAAGATACATCATATAGGTTAAGGTTGGATTTGAAACTTCAAAAAAATTACTAGTGGTATTGACTGCTGGTATTGTACTGATTTAGTAACTGGTCTGGAAGGGTTTGATCGACTTGAGATCACCAACAACTCCAGCAATAGAGCCAGCAGCAGCAGCTATAGTAATAATGAGGCAAGCTATACTTAGGATTTGCAAGCAAAGCCATCTTGTACTCCACTTTGGTATCTTCTTTTGTGCAATATACATCTCCACAGGGAAGTAAACCGTCAATGGCCAAAATCCCAAAGCCCCGAGTAGACCAACTATGTCATTAAAGAAGGGAAGGAGCATCGAAATAACAGTGGTAAAGATCACAAAGAGGGTCCTCCAAATCATTCTAAAGAGGTTGAGATTGTAGGGGCGGAAACCAGGAATTGGAACTTTGATGCCTTTTGTAATAAATTCACTATCCGGAAATCTTTCAGCTGCTTCTTTTTCGACGAAAGCAAAGAGAGGTTGGCAGAAGACCTGGTATGCGCCAACAAGGTGAATTACTATGGCAGCATTGGCAATATCAAGCAGCCAATATGGGTTATAAAAACCAAAGCCAGTAAGGAGATTTCCAGGGGACAAATCTCCAAAAGCAGCATAGCCAAAGCAGCCGCAGAACATGTAGAAAAGGGTTGTGATTGCAACACTTATTAGCGTTGCCTTCTTCATCGTCTTGGCTTCTGATGGTGGGGATTTGACTGTGTCCTGTTAATTATGATATAAACCTTGTAGGTTAGTTAAATTGTCAGAGAATATCAAATAATACATGATATATCCTATACATGTAGCAAAAGAAATGTGTACGCTGCAAATATATAATGTTAGCACCTGAATTTCAATGAGGATCATGGAGAAAGAATAGGCAAAAGCAATGTCACCAAGTGCTTGGAAACTCCTCCACATCTTTTGTGTTTGAGTCACAGTGCCAATGCTTATACCTGTTAGACTTCCACTGATTTTTCCATTTTCTATAACTTTACCTATGCCAAGACCTAGACCAATTGATGAATAAGTGAAGGACATGACCGCAGCGACCAGAGAGAGCCAGTGTAACTGATCAAATCCAGGAATTTGTGACAAAAGTATCTCAGCTATGCCAAAGCCTATCATATATGGATTGGCATTCATACGGCATGGATTTTTTCCACCGCTCTTGTGAAAGCAATTAGATCTCTTTATTGCCCTGTTTTTTGGTAACAGTACCGTTAGCCCAAAGAATTCATAATAAAGCTAGGCATTATCTGCCATAGCAAGTTAAAAAAAAAATCTATATATATATATATATTTTACTTGAAAGTGAAAGCTTACATCATGCTTATAGATGATGCAATTGTGTAGCCAACAGCAACTCCAAAAAGATTCAGGTACTGAACAAATCCACATATCTTGACCTTCACACCACCTGATGAGAAAATTAAAAATTGATCACCATATAATTAAGAAATTAGAATGTTTAAAAAGATTCAATCAAGCTAAGTCCATATAGCAGCAGGGCTGGTTAATTACCAAGATTGGACCGAACAGCATCCATGTAAGTGTAGTTCCTCTTGCCAGTAAGAGGATCACCAGAGCGGTAGCATGCAGAGAGCAGAGTAGAAGTATAGTACGTGACAAAAGAGAACAAGAACATGACAGCTGGTCCAGCAATCCATCCAAGCTGACATATAGCCCAAGCCAAGGAAAGAACACCAGACCCAATAACAGCTGTTATGATGTGAGCACTTGCAGTCCATACGGTCCCTGAAGGAAAACAAATTATATGTTGGGTAAAGCTAGAGGTTATAATTTGCTTTTTTCGATTTACTTGGAAAGCTTACTTGATCAAAACAAAATATATGTTGGGTAACGCTAGAGTTTATAATTTGTTTACCAGTTCGCTTGAGACGGCCATCATCATCAAAACACTTGGAGCTACCCTGATGGTGCATGTCAATGGAGACATCGAAAACTTGGCGATTCGTTATGCTTGTGTTCTCACCCATCTTTCTTTAGTAAAAGAGAGGCAGCACACGGTTACAATGAAGTTGAACGTGTTTATGTATGAGAGACAGAGAACGAAAGAAGTACGTACTTGGGCGGTAGCTTATTAGAAGGGATAGAATGGAAGAGGAAGGAGGGACGGTATTTATAGATGACTAAAAGAATTGCACGTGATTTAACAAACTCTTCCACCAATTCAGCTTCTACGCAGATTCTCAATAGTAGTATAGTTCTTCTGCCCTGAGGATCCCACCGGCCACAATCCACTACCCTTGCTTGACCCAGGAGTCGATTTCACAAGCTTTCTTTTTCTTTTTCTTTTTCTTTTTTAAGTATTATTATTATTTCTTTTTGGACAATTTGTTTTCTTTGGATTTAATATACTGAGATCACAAAATCTCTTACAACCCACTTATCTATTACCACCATCCAACTTGAGCTGCCACTTCCCAGCACTTTCTCGTCTATCATTTGACACGTGTTTTAAATACAATAGGTAGTTTTATGTATTTATTTATCTATACAGTTAAAGCTCATAATTTTTCTTATACTATAATGATTTCGTTTAGTTTATCCTTATACTATTATTTTAATTTATTATATTTTTTTATTTATATTTTTTGGCTCAATATATCTATCAGTTAAGTAAATAACAAATCATAATCAATTTAGGACGCATGACATACTTATAAGCATACATTTATTCAATTTTCAATTTAAAGATAGGTTTTTTTATCAACAAAAAAGCAAAATAGGAATAAAATTTTTTTAAAAAAAATTGAATTTTAAAAATAAAGATGTTTTTATCAGTAAAGAACAAATATTTTTATATGTATCTTCTCTTTATTTATAGTTTTCCTAAAAACTTTCCTTTTTTTCCTTTATTTATAATATTCCTAAAAAAATTAAAAGAAAACTTATATACTTTTCACATGTGTTTTAAATGCTGTCAATAATTTAATTTATTTGTACGTAAAATATTAAATTAGTAAACAAACTATAGCCCGTGTCTCCATTAAGTCTTTATAAACGCTTGTTTCTCAATTAGAGGAGGTTTAGCAATTCTAAATTAAGCCTCTCTATCGATGTTTCCTAATTAATTGTCCAGACTAGACGTTTTTTCATGGAATAAAAACAAAGCGTTTTTTTTTTTTTTTTTTAAAGGAATCTGATAGCGTCTTTCATCAATTTTGCTGTGATTTTATGGAAAATGGTTTGAGTCAGGATTTTTAAACCTTAAGTAATCCAATTTTTGAAAAAATTATTTGAGAATTAAATTGGTATTTACCGTATTGTTAGGAACCTAATTTTAGGCTTTTCTTTATTTCTATATAAATCAATTTTTTTTCAACCACCTTTTTTTTTCTTTTTTTTTGGTCCCACAAAATATATGACTTTACTGTTAGCCAATATCTGCTTAAAAAATGGTTAGAACTTAGAAGAACTAATTATTATGAATAGTTAGTAGTTAATTTCCTTCCATTTATTGGATTATATCATATTATCTTAACTCTCAACGCTACTGTTTATCGTCGCATACACACTTAATTTCTTATCATTTTCTACACACTCATAGGTTAATGATATAACGTATCCTCCTTCCAAACAGTGATTCATTCATCAGAAGGTTCTTCAACCAATAAAGAGAATTTGTTGTTGATAACATAAACAGATTGGTTCATCATCCACCATCTCATCATCATCGTATTTTTATCTAAAGTTCATAATCTCATTAGAAATGTTTTGAAAAAAAAATTCACCTTCACTCCCATAGTCCTTTCTTTTATGTGCTTCTTTGGTATATTGGTTTCGAAAATTCTCCTTTTGACTTTTTTGTTTAGAAGGAAACTATCTCTTTATCCATACTACGTGGTGGATTGAGCGAACTAAAATCATTTTAAACTATTATAATTTTTTTTATTTAATTATTTTTTTTATGTTTTTCATAAGTTTTAAAACATGATTTATTCTTTATTATATATTGATTTTTAAATAAAAATTTATAATAATTTAAACTAGAATATTAATTAAGAATTAAAAAATAATTTTAAAATTTTTTATAAAAATATATTTAAAAAATAAAGTTATAATTAATTTATAAACTTGTATAAAAATTAACTAATAAAAAAAATTCTCATTTAACTGATGGGAGGATTAAGTTTTGAAAATATAGCATTTGATCCATATACATTTACTTGCAAAATAATAAATAATATTAGTATAACAAAATTATATTTGAATAATTGGTTCATTCCTTTAAAAAATTATGTTTAAAAAATAAATTGGTTCTATAATGTAAAAAAAAAATATTCATAGCAAATAGTTGGTATTATATGTGAAGTTTTATAGTTAATTTTTAATAAAACTAACAATTCAATAGTTTTTTTTATATATATATATACATTTTAACCATATCTAGTGGACTGAGACAAATTAACTAAAATAAAATTTTAATATTTTAAATTAAAATAATTATATATTTATATATATGCAATTATAATTTAAAAATTTTAAGAATTCATGATATATATTATATCAATTTATTTTTTTTAAATAACCATGTTTTAAAATTTTATGCTAAAATTCAAATTTAGAGAAAAATAATCATATTTATCACTAAATAAATTTTCATATAAAAAATTGTTAATTAGTTGAGAACTTTCAAAAAAGATGACAAATTCAAAAAAAAAATTAAAAATAAGAGTAATATAATCTGAAATATATGTTAATTTGATAATATATATATTATCCTTGCTATATTGAGTGAAAAACATAAATAATAACGTTTGACATTTCATAATTTTTGCCTAAAATTTTTAATTAAAAGAAAGAGAGAAAAGAAAAAAAAATAAGCCGAGGATGAGGCCAACGTGCTTGGGCTTGTAGGATAAATGGCTGTGTGCCTAGGCTGGACATTAAAAAAGGAGTGATTGTTTCCTATTTTCAGCAACTTCTGCAACTCCGGCAAGCACAGTTTCATCGAAAAAATCAAGTATCTCAATTTTTATCATTTCAAAACTAAATTTAGCTTCTTCTTTTTTTTAAAAAAAAAAAACACTTCAAATTCATAGAAATAACGTAAATGAATTTTTTAGAATCTCAAAATTCATTTTAATTCACACAAAATATATAAAAATTTAAATCAAAATAAAAAAATAAAATATTTTTTTAATCTCAATCTACTTCATCTAACTATTTCATCACTTATCACCACAATAAATAGATTTTACTACTCAGAAACGAATAAAATGATGACAATCTCGATTGTCAAAGTGATTGAAATGGCCTTTGTCGTCCTTCTCTGTCTCTTCTCCTTTGTTTCTCTCTTCTCTTAGCATTTAGGAACCAAAATGGACAAAAGATAAAATTATAAATGGAGATAACAATGTTAAAAAATGAGAAACCAAAGTGTATATTTTCATAATTAATGAATAATGGTTTCACAGAGAATTGGGTATTAAGCTTAGCATCTTTGAACGGAATTACTTCATCGATCCAATTGGGTACCCGGCTAGCAACGTACGTGCATTCCAAAAAGCTACGATAGTACTAATATTTTAGCGAGTAAATTATGAATTAGTTATTATAGTTTTGCAAAAATAAGTTAAATGGTTTATATTATTTTAAAAATTAATTAACTAGTTATTTGACCAATGATGATCATATTTAATCTATTTTTTCTGTTTATTAAAATAAATTGAAAAGAATGAAAATAACTAAGTCATGAATAGATTAAAAAACACAAAGACTAATTAATTAGTCGTTGAAATTAGAGATATTATTTAATTTATTTTCAAAAATTAGAAAAGAAAATAATTTATAATTTACTCATATTTTGGTGATGAATAAGCAAATCACTACGTTGAACTAAATTCATAAAAAGAAATTTTAATTATTTGTAAATTGCATAAAAAATAAAAAAAAACACAGAGGTGCTCATAATTGCTTGAAGGTAATTAAAGTTTTCTTTAATTAAGAATTAATAAATTCATTTACTTATTAAGTATTAAGGTATATAATTTTTTAACAGATGGATTATTTTCAGAGGATACGGACCACGTGTTACAAAGGTGAGCATGTATCTAGGGATGGATTTGAAGGATGATTTCTTGAGGAATATGAGTGGGTACTGAAACAATATTTTTAGAAGTTAGGATTATAACATCGACTTAATGGGCTGGATATGTCTCATTACCTGCAAACAAACAGCACAAATGACGAACTCATATGCCAGCAAACCGAAAGTGTGGTGCACATCTTGATATTAAGGTCCCCGTTTTCTATGTAACTGTCCATTCAGAATTTTAATCCTGATTCTTGATCATATGAATTTTTTATTTTCGTCATATATTACTGTCTTGTATTAAAATAAGACTAATTTTTTTAGGCGGATCAGCGCTCGACTACAGAATTTTTAAATAAGCTAGATATTTGATTGTTTGGTAACTTGCTTGACTGCACTTTATAATCTTAATGCATTCGAAGTAAATTTATAACTGAGCTTATTGAGAGCATATAAAAAGGAACATATTAATGGTTTCCCTCAACTGCAACGTGGCAATATATATACACATATATATAAAGAGTAGTGATTTTTTCTTTTTTGAACATGGAAGTATAAAATACTTAAAAGAGGGAGAGGGTATGTGGACTTAATTCGGTTAAGATATAGGTTTCCATATATCGCTAGGAAAAATCCTTCGATCAAACCAAGCTGGCATAATTAGTCAAAAAAATCTGGTAGGCACAGCAGCATTTTTTGTCTGATTATAAGTAATAAATTCCATATTTGGATCATTGGAAGGTTAAGAAACAGGCCAGAATGGTTGGCTTGATAAGGGATTGCATCACTCTTCTTTAAAGCGTTTGTAAAGCACTTACTAATGAAATGGGTTTTGTTTCCATCAATTTCGAATGGAGACTGAAGCCACCAAGTATGCATGTCAATTTAAGAGTAAACGAGGAACCTATAATCCAAGGAAACTGATAGATGAATGTTATT